TTGTAATTTCTGGCCAAAATTTTGAAATTGTTTTGAAGCAAAAAGAGATGTAAGGATAATGCTGTAAAGAAAGTGTCAAGTGCTAGTTTAAATCTGAAATTTTCCATTCTGTTTGTCGAAAAAAATAGAAACACACACAAAAACTTGAATCTTGGAGATTATTGATGACAAATGTCTTGATATGCAGTCACTCAACAAATTCTTCTCTAAAGAAACCTTTGACTTCCTTTTTTTAGAATTTTGTTCCGATTGCGTCACAAGGATGTTCAGAAAATAGTTTGACGAGAATAAAGCCAGTGGTCAAGTAAACCGTTAAACGAAAATAAGAGCGCGACATAATTATCCACTAGTTTAAACATGCTTGATAAAGACTATAAATTCATCCTCTGAAATTTAATTACAGTGTACCTTCCCTAAATGATAGAATTAAAACCATCTTGATGTAAATCATGATGAACCTGAGGTTTTCAGCAAATTGGATTGACAAAGGATTCTGTTTTATCAAATGAATGTATTGAGGAATTTTTTGGAAGTTGAAGTTTTAACACTTGCAATTGATGTCTAGCTTCCCTGTGGTCCATTAATTTATATCGTGATTGCATATCAAGAAATTTTTGTCTTGTACCAATAAATCTCAATTCTCGATCATCGTTTTTCGCAAAGAAAAATGGTTCAAGCATCGTGTTCATCGAGTTTTCCAGCGAGGGTCATGTCGTACTATACATTTGGGTCTTGATCTGTTTGGTTTGTTCCAGAAGACAGCCACACTTGGTGATGGTTATGATCAACGGAACAAGGACGACAAGCCATTCTCTTTCACTGAGAAAGAAACCTTTTCCGGCGTCACGATACTCTCTGCTTCAAAGGTACATCAATTTTTGTGTGTGCATGAAAATTTTGTCCTCTTTTGAATTACTGACAGAGGTGTTGACCAAAATTTAGTGATCAGTGCACAGTAATCTGAATCGATAAGTCTTGATTTGAAACCTGGTCATCGGGTGATCGAGGCACTCAGGGAAGGACGCGTTACACTCCCTGTGCCTTTTCTTCACTCGAAAATCACAAAACCGTAGGTTGAGCCACGTATGTTGATTTTCGAAGTGAATGGGTACTGGCGGGACACATTTGAAAATAAAACGTTCGAAAATACTGGATGAAATGGAGAGGTATTTCTCTAATTGAGAATTACGGCTTACTCATGAACGTTAAATGACGTTCAAATTCCACAGCTAATTTCCAGTTTCTTTTAACCAAGCGGGAGAAACTTAAGCCAAGCGAGAATTCTGCGGGGTAAACACTTTCACGTGTCAGCGTTTACTCTTCAATACAATTCAAGTTACACCGTGGTGGTTAAAAATATGGCCTCTAGAATCTTGCCTTTCTCTCCTGGCTTACCGCTATTTTGTTATTTGAATCTATCAGGCAGCTCGTCGAAAGGAAGTACCTCTAGAGGAAGTGGAGCTGTACTTCAACCTGAGCGATAAAGTTCGGCAGTTTACCGAGGATTATTTTCAACTAGACACACCTTTGTATTTTTCATATTCACATCTTGTCTGCCGCACCTCGCTAATGGGTGAGTTGAATTGCTTTCACTTTTAGCCGCAAATTTGACGATTTGACGATTTTACTGAGGCTCTCTACCGGCGGCAGAGTGACGTCATATAACACGATTCGTGTCAGGTTTTCGTAGACGTTCCCTTCCTTCCGTTTCTCTTTCGGCGGAGGGTACGGCTACACGAAGGCATATACGAGCTGAAATTTAGTCACATCGAATTGCTCCTTTGATGAAAATTTATTGTAACCGAGGCGATCTCTATCCAACCTAGACCCCAATGATCCCAATCCAGGCTTCCATTTGAGCCACCCAATTCATTCCGACAACTGTTTACTGAACCTTGATGGACTAGGCTCTTGTCCCAAGCGGTCGCCAGCTTATACGTGGAGAGATTTCAGGTATGTCAGAATATTTCAAGTGTCTATGATATGGGAGTTGGGTGACCTTTCATACCGTTTTTGCTCAGCTTGCGTGGCTTTCGCATAGAATGAAGACAGAGGGAAATAGAACCTCTAGCGTTTAGAAGGCTCGAAGTGTGATCGCTTTACATAGCGAGTTTTCTGCCGCCCTAATTTTTGCTAATGTGTAATCATATTTATCATGTCCCCCATTTTCCCTCTTATACCTAAGAGCGACCAGCATCGAATTTCTTCCCACAGTAATATTGCTGAATCATTATTTAACATCAGGGCCGGGTTGTTCAAAGCTGGGTTAAGATATCCCAGGGTTAGTGTGAAAACTGATTTCAGATCTGATAGCTTTAAAACAAAATTCAGTCGAATTATTTTTGTCTAGAATATGACTATTTGATGCTCTAAAAAGAACACAAGAAATTATTCCAAAAAATGCTTTTGAATGAAGGAATGAAGAAGCTCAGATTAAAATATAATCTTGGGTTAGCTCTAATCAGCCTTTGAGCAATTGGGCCCACATAAAGGAAATGATCGCCAAGCTAACTGATTGTTAAACCAATTCTCCTTGTCAGCACCAAAGGAAATGTATGGTGAAAAATAAGGAGAATATGGATGCCTATATTAAGGCGTGAAGGGTCAAGACAGATGGTTATCAAGTGGGGAATGAGAACAGGGTGGATTGACCATTTCCGAGTCTTTTTTTTTCGGGCTTTTTATTCTTAAATACTTCTTTTTTGGTAGTATCGATTATTTTTATCTCAAATAGAAGGCAACACTGTTCACATTATGAATTTTGAAAAGTCCCCCCCCCCCTTGTGTAGAAATCCTGAAGGCTCCACACAACCGCCATCTCTTTGCGGCTCCTATCCCATTCAAGCCTCATTTTTCCGGAATTTACCTTTAAGTGGACTTTTTCGTGCAATAAGAACAACGATCACTCACTTCTACGAAATGGTTAAACTGCTGTTACAATTCTTATCAGTGGTATTCTGTTCCATTTTTCTTTAATTTAATTTCAGTGCTCTGCTGTATCTGAATGGCGATTTCAAAGGAGGGGAGTTTCTGTTTGCTAATCCTGATGATTCTGTTCAGGTATGACCCTTTCATGTCTCACAAGTGACAAGCAAGTAACTTTAACCAGTAGACAGGTGATAGATGTATTAGTCAGAGACTGCAAATGTTTTACTTCCAGGAGGGAGCCTGATTGATGACCAGATCATGGGATTTAGTAAACGGTTAAACGGCTCACAAATCCACAGATAATCTAGTTTTGATTTAAAATACAGCTACGCCGCTTCAAACACCACTCTGTGGAATCATCATGCTAAGACGTACTGAACCCGGATGATAATGCTAGTATGTATCTGCTTTGAAATGGAGCACTCCCATACTTTTGGCAGTTTGAAGCGTGACTGTCATCCGCCATAATTATTCTCTAGTTCTCAAGACATTCCATGTTGCATATAATCATCCACGCAACCGTTAAGTCACACAACGCGCACAAAGAGGGCTTGTTGCACTTGCGTGACGAGGCGCGCTCGATTAGGCACCTATATAAATCTTTCTCAGCAATCCTCGTGTTTCGCAGGCTAAACTTAAACCTGAATGCGGACGTGCCGTAGCTTTTTCAGCTGGACTGGAGAATCTTCACGGTGTGGCCGGCATTCGAGAGGGGCGCAGGTGCGCTCTGGCTCTGTGGTTTACTTTACGAAAAAAACATGACGAACAACTTCGAAAAGTTGCCTGGGAAACTTTTCAGATGGCAAAAGAGGAAAAGCGATTGGAAGAATTGCCTTTGTTCAAGCCTGAAGTGGCGGCACATTCTGAACTCTAGCCGAAGCTTCCATTTCGAAAATTCAAAGTTTATCCTGAGATCAAGCCCTCCTTTTCAAGCATGAAGCGTAGACGATGAGAATTAGTCAAGCGGCGAGTACAAGTCAAGCGAGGAGCAAACGGGGAGAACTTGTCTTCAGCCTATTTACCAAACTGCTGAACAGATGACTGTGGGCGGTGGGAAAGGGTTCTGACATATTCCTAGACGAGCGTAAAACTAGACTACTTCTTTTGCACTTTATTAAACTTTGTTTTGTTTCAAGCCAGTTCTAGAGGCAAAGACCTTGAAGTGTCTGTCTTTTTTAGGTAACCACTGGAAGTATGAGTTTCATTTTTGCGGTTTCTTTTAAGAGAAGTTTCTCCTATTCCTTGCCCCTATTGATCTAATTTGTGATCATTCTGCGACGGAAGAATTTGAAGTTGTTCTCGTGTGATAGTGAAAGCAGTTCTCACTTTTTTCTTGCTTTGACATTGACCGATTTATGTCCAAAAATAGTCTGTCGTACGAAGTAATTTTATCCCTCCTGGATACGTTCGCATGTGCTGTGGGAAACAGCTGGTATAACCCGGTTATCGTGCAGAGTTTAAGAGGTATGATTATACGTCAGACTTACTCTGAAACTCTGATTGGTGGAGAGCATACATTCAATATACAATAACGTGTGAAGTTGTCATGATAACGCAATATCTGCAGCAGGTATTGGATTATCGTGTCGAGTTAAAAATCTGCCTAGTTTGTAAGATCCTCGTCCTATAAGTGTCCTCAAACTTTTGCAGACTCAAACATTTGCAGCTAGTTTGAAAAATGTATTAAAACAAAATTATTTAATTCGGTTTCACATGATATCAAGAAGGATCCAACCTCGTGTCTGTGTTATCTGCGTCAGCTTCTGGCTTCGACAGATAACTCAGACGTCGGTATTGATAACTCGTAATACCACGCTCAAACTCAACTAATAATGGCTTAATACCCAGATGTGCTGGTAAACAAGTATTTTCTTAGAGGGAAACTTGAAAATGGATAAAAAGTCTTTAGAGGATACCATTCAGTGAAGCCCTCAATGTATCTGCGTGGTTTACAGTCATCTCGCCACCAGGAAGACTCGCCACCAGCGAGCTCGCCATTGCGGCAATATCACCACCACCAATTGCCACCAAACTTATTTGATGTTCATCAAAGGAAAAGTAAACCAAAGTGACTGTAACTTATTAATCGAACGAACGGACGACAAGATCGACAAGAAATGTGATCGATCGCGTGCATTTTTGTCGTAAAACGAGTTTTCTGAAAGCTCCCAAGGAGATTCTGATAACTTTTAACTTCAGAAACCAACGAGCAGCAAGTTACAGCTCAGGAAAATGTGTATTTATGTAATCACACATTTAATAGCTATACTTAATACAATTACAATATTCGCTACCGGATGAGTGTTTGGTGGCGAGATCGATTACACTTTGGTGGGGAGGTGACTGGGTACCATATCCGCTTGCTGGTGACCTCGATGCAACAAAACGAATGTTTCCTAATTCTTGATGTCAAAGGAAACTGAGAAAGTTTGTTTTGTTTTTGTCTGTATTTTGAAGGCCACAGGTAGGCTTTGCATAAATGCAGAAATATACGTGTAGACACACGGTAAAATTTCTATATTAATCAAATTTTTGTTAGAGCATCTTTCTCAATTACAAAGATATGATATGTGTGATATTATTGCCTAGAATTCAGCTATTGTGGCAAATTTGAGGAAGCAAAATTTAAATTTACGAAGAGATATTACATTGTATTATATTTGATAAGTAAAGTAACCAAGAAAATTGAGGAATCCTGTTAAAAGCGGAGTGTAACGTTACATTCTGCAGTTGCGAACGGATTACCGTGAATGAAGAGCAAAATTATACGTTAGTAAAAATGTGTCTTCAGCTTTAGTTTACTGTCAAAGCTTTAGCCTTTCCTATTCGCTCTGACGAAGGGATAACGCACGGAATGTCAGTTTTAGAAACTCGCTACGGTGGCTAATTTACATTGCCAACTCAGTTAATAAAACGAAAGTACCTTGTAACACCCTCCGCCGACGTAGCACCACAGTTTCTCAAGAAATTTACCCCATGTTTTCATTTGTAGTTTAATAAGTCACCTTTCATGTGTAACAAATAATTACGGTTACATCGCATCATGGTTAGATCGCTCCATCAAATAAGTTACTTCGCTCCCAACATAAGTTACCTACTGTTGGCTGCGCATTCAATGTTATTTCGCTCGACACGTAAAAAGAAGAAACTCAAAATAGCCTAAAAAGCGGCACCGGTAAAGCTGATTTCACCTCCATGATCGAAGACCTTGGCCTATATGAGGCTAACTCCGACAAACCCTTCTTTATACATGTCATGGTTTTGAACTTTTAAAGTCTAGAAACTGCGTTGATTAGAAGAGATTAAAAATAACTCTCAGGTATAGACTACCCAGAAGGGTATAGAAGAGATTAAAAGTAACCCTCAGGTGTACACTACCCAAGAGGGCACGAAAATTGAATTCACACTAATTTATATCAGGAGACCTCTCTTTGTCTGGTCTCTTTCTTTTGACTGAAAGTCGAGGCATCCACTGTTAACTTATATAATTATTGTCCTTTACTAGTTCCCGAATGTCGTTGTCAAGCTCGGCTATTCTTGGCTGACATCTTTGCAATTTCCCATGATTATTCGACTAGAGGCATTTCCCGCCTAAAGTGTACGGTCGAGAGCGATTTGGTTTACTGCATCAACAACAGGATTATATTTTGAGACCTCGCGAATCCATCTGCTGGAATTCCCCCTGTCTAATTAGTCTGGCATAGATACCAATTGAAGATGCAACCCTACATGTTGTTTGGTTACCGGGCGTTGAACGAACAGCCTTTGTTGGTGCGCTTGAGACCTGCTGCCGGGATAGAGCGTATTGTAGTCATTGCGGAATCGACGAAACAATTCGTTTGCAAAAGCGTTCGGCCTGATTTCACATTTAACTTTTTCGTAAGCACATACCAGTACTTTTTGGGGTCGAGATTGGATCCCGTAACTCTAGAAAGCTCAGCCGATCGATCCAAGACTTCAACCTCCATGATGAGATCACGCCAAGTGATTCTAATGCAAGATTTATTGTGTTTTTGTATTTTTTATTGTGACACCAACCGACCGCAAGCGTTAATGTAATTCTCTATACTGAGGACAGAAATGTAGCGCCTTCGTAGAATGCAGGCTGCAAATTTTTTTCGGGGCCAAAGCTCCTCATGATAAAGGACGTGATTAAACGCATCTTTTATTGCGTCCCCCTTAACCACGAACTAAGTGTCTCTAAGAACCGTGTAATTCGGAATTCGGTAAGAGAAACCAAAATCTCCCCAAAGCTTCCTCGGCCAATGTGCTTTTTCACGTGGAGCTTATTGCATTCATACTGCGGAAAGTAATATCGTAAAAAAACACCTCAAACGGCCCATGAAGGCCAAAATATACCACAAGTGTTAATGTCAACAATAACTAATCATTAACACATAGTGTGATCTGCCTGTTCTGCCCCTGGACTAAAAGAATTAATTACTCGGGCTTTCCGAGGGAAATTCCGGCTTGGTTCTTCTTCGTCGTTCGGTCGCAAATCGCAGTCAAGTCCTCATCACGCATGCGTAACGTTTTGACTAATGAGCACACAGGATGGTGAAATGGCGGACGAAGAGAAGCTTTCGCGGTGCAAAATCAGCACAGACAATGTGTATAAGACGCTCAAAACGCATACAAAATATGCCTACATCGTTCGTGGTAGACCCACACTGAAAGATTTCGAGCGTTTTCGGAACGGGTCGTTCCGTGAATCATATAAGATATCTCTTTATGAGCGAACATTTATCGGGGAACCTTTCATCGAGAAACATGCTATATCAACCGAGCTATCTAATGTTAATCGAGAGAAGCATAGATGCAAATCTCATCGTGTATGTAGACGTGAACGTGAACCAAGCAGAATACCAATACGAAGTTTAAAATTTTAAGGAACAAGAGCAGAAAGGTTAGAAAAATTTGTCTATGCAATTTGCCTCCCATGTATCCCCATATCATCTACATTACACTGTTATATTAACTCTAAAAAACTATTAAAAAAAAAGACATTTAAGGTTAACTTTTGTGAAAGAATTCGTCAATGTATATGAAAGGTGAAATATCGTACCAGTCGATATTTGAAATTGTTTTCTTGTAACAAACTGATGTGTTCTTGCAAGAACGAAGCTCGTCTAGCGAATTTTTGCAACTATAAATTAAGTAGAGACAGAAAAAAATCCTGGCCCTCCAACATATGTTGACCCTAACAAAACAATAGTAGCTTCCTATAGTCACGGTAACGAGTTAGTTTTGGACAGAATGCAGGACAACAATGTGTTGCAATGAGTTTGTGTTCTTTGATTTACAATGACACACAAGGGATCAGCTCTGCAAATGATCTTATACAAATAATGAATATTGGAATTCAGCTTTATTCAAGTTTATCATGATTAGCCAGACAGGCATATTTAATGCAGTCAGAATTACCAACAGCATTAAATGTGTTTGATACTGATTATCAACTGGAATACAGTGAAAGCTACTCTGGTACTGTTCACTAAGAAATTGCTATAGAGGGATATCAGTACTGTTCATCTTTACCAAGAGCCTTTGAGTCACTCATATTTGAAAGCTACACCAATTTCATGTTAACAGTAGGGTGTATTACTGTAATAGTAATATGGGGTTCAAAATATTTGAATCTCATGTAAGAGACTTGTATGGTAGAGGGCAGCCTCAAGGTACATGTGTTCTTCTTAAAGTACTTTCTCTTGATAGTTTAGTGCATTATTTTCAGAGTATACATAACAACAATATATTTGAAGAGAGAGGAGCACAAATTGAGAATATTCAAAATAGGCTGGTTTCTCAACACAGGCTGAATGAAATCATAAACTTTAATCTAAGTTGTGGTGTAGCTTTATACTCTCTTTACTACTCTATAAAGAAATCATGTTATTACTGGAATTACAACTCATCCTTACCCACTATTGTTGACAAAGGCAAAAAGATGTGTTGTAAATCAAGTTTAGAACACAATGAGTAATCACCAGTTAATCTTCCAAGAACTGTAGATGTTTGTGAAACTGAAGTAAATTTGGATAATTTGTTTGAGAGTGAAGGACTATTGACTGATTCACTTCAATGCAAATCAATACTTGAGAATGAAATAATACATAATAGTGAATGTACAGGGTTTTTGTCATCATTTTCTTTGTACTGCAACAGTTGTACCTTTAAACCCACAAAAAGATCAAATTTTATGTATTCCCCCTGCCTTATAATGAAAGACACATGTCTCCTATTCAGTACATTAAAAACATAAATGGAATGGCTTCACTTGTTGATGCCATTAGAAAAATACTAGAGAAATATAATACTCTAGGGCAATACAGAATACTGTTTGCTACATGTTCAAGTAAAGTAGTTGATAGAAAGGAAAGAAAAAATTGATGATTAAACATAGAAAAAAAACAATACTATAAAGCAATGGAGCCAGCAGAGAAAAAAATATTCTTAGAGAAAAGCAATTTAGGAATTTGAAAAATAAACAGGAAATACAGGAAAAACTGTCCCAAAAATACAAAACAATGGATACTGGGTAATCAGTATCTTCAGGATGCACCAGCCATGACTGAATGCATTGAATATCACCCTCTGTTTGTGAAGCAGTTCTGAATCTAATTAATAACTCTGTGAATGGTTGGTCATCCTTTTGTCTCATTTTTTTAGTCAACTCTATCATCTTGAAAAGTAGCTAGGAATGGCACAAATTGTAAACATTATTTTTACATTCTTCAAAGACAAATTTTCTTCAAATTGGTGGAAGTTAATACAAATCAACAACTTTAATAATGCTAAGTCTTGCAAATGGACAGTTGTTTGATGTTGACAATATTTCTTTTAGTTGTTGATGGATGTACAATAAGCAAAGTATT